TTGAAATTTGATCCTCCTTTTTGGAGGTGGGACCTGAAGGGAGGTATTTGAGTCATGAATCCCTCATTAATGGCTTGGTCCATTCTCATGGCAGTGAGTTCTCTTAGTTCCTACGAGAACTGGTTGTTAAAAAAAGAGCCTGACATCTCCTCCTCTCTCTTGCCTCCTCTCTTGCATGTGATCTACACACACCAGCTTCTCTTCTTCAGCTAGGAGTGAAGCTTCCTAAGGCCCCCATCAGAAGCAGATGCTAGTGCCATGTTTCTTGTACAGCCTGCAGGATGTGAGCCAAATAAACTTCTTTATAAATTACCCAGCCTCGGTTATTCCTTTATAGTAACACAAATGGACTAAGACATCAGATAATTAATAACTTACTAGGCACTATTTTAGGTGCTTGGGACACATTTAAATAAAGCAAAATATTTCTGTCTTTGTGGAGAAAAATATTCTAGCAGAGGAAGACAAGTAATAAATATGGTTTTTAACTGCATCCTAATGAGTTTTGATATGATATTTTCACTACTATTCAGTCCTATCTATTTTCTAATTTCCACTGTAATTTTTTCTTTGCCCAGAGAACTTGGTTTTAATAGTACTTATTTGATATTTATTGAGACCTGCTTTATGGGCAAAACTATGAGCAGTTTAAAATATATTTTTTATATGTGCTTGAAGAGAATGTATGTACTTTGTTAGTATTTTAAAAAATCTGGCCTTTAGAGAAAAACTGTTAATTACATTGTTTCAATCTATTTTTCGTCTGCTTACCTATACATTATGGGATTGCATTAAAATCTACTATTTTTGACACTATGTTGTCAACTTTTTCCCTGCTAGTTTTTGATTTATATATTATGAAGCTACATTGTTAGTTGATTTCAAGTTTATAATTCTTTCTGTTGTGTCATTTCTTTTATGATTAGATTAACTTGATATCTAATAATTTGTAATTATTATCTTTCAGTTACTTCATTCCTTTCATGATTAGGTTGAGCTAACTTAATATCTATTAGGCAGGGACCAAATCTGCAGGTGGTAGATATAGGCCAAGAGGGTCATTGCTAGGGGTGGGGTATCAGGGGAAGGACTGCAGAAAAATGCAGAACACCTGACAATCATGTGTATCAATCACCTGGTAAATCCCACACCTCCCGTGATCCCTCATCCAGACCAGGCCACCTGGAAGTCCTTAATATCCTTCTCCACTTGTGCAGACCTGTTCTCTCTGGAACGTACTCTCACTTTGTATAGCTCCCTCCTTTTCTGCAGTGAAAGCTGTTCATATGAATTTGCTTCCTGTCTGTAGTCACTCCTTCACACCAGCCCTGCTTTTGAATTTTCCAAACAATGAGCCAAAAAACAAGGACAGTAGTCCGCCAAAGAGGCTGGACCTGACAATATCTATCTATTCTTCTTTCCTGAGGTTTAATTTTGAAAATGTATGTTCTACCTTTCTTCCAACTATTTTGCCTTATTAATTTATTTTCTATTTTTTTTACTTTGATGCCTTGTATAACTAGTTTTAGACTTGTTGTCTCTTATAAAAACAGTATACATTTATTTTTTTTAACAGTCTAACAGTTTCTTTTTTTAGTTGGTGAGCTTATTAGTCTATTTAAGATTATTAAATATATTGTGATTACTGACATTTTATCAAATCTAACATGTCGTGGATTATAAGATACATGATTATTTTATGTATGTTGAGCCTATGTCAGATGTTTAGAAGTTCAGAATTGTTATCCTTCTCTTGAATAATTTCATTTGTATTTCTGTAGGATGTGTTTTATATCTAATACTTCATGCTGTCCTTTAAGCTATGACACAATACCTTAAAAATAGTCTTACATATGGAATTCATAGAACACTCAGTTGTTGCAGTTGTATTGTACTGAACTTTTTTTCATTAATATCAAATTTGTGTCCCGTTGCTCTGTTTTGGCCTAGTTAATTAATTTTTCTACATAAACAATAATTTTTCTTATCACTGCCAAATCATTATGAATAACAAACAACATGCAGTGCCATCGGCTATGTACATAAGTCAGTTGAAGTAAAGATAAATGGACAGATAGGCTTGAGTTTGTGCATGCATAGGCAGTGACAGCTATGTTATAACTGCTATGTGTTCAACAACAGCTTTAAGATGCCATAATTTATAGGATGCATTGAGATTTTAGAGGTGCTAACATATGAAAAGAGTATAAAATTGATTTACTCAGGTATTTTCATTTATTTTATTGTCATATTTTGTGTGTTTTCTATTCTAACATTTCTGGTTTTTTAGAGTTAGGTTTAGGGTTAACTCTAACCTTGAAGAAAGGTTTAGAACTTTTCTTTTCCTGCCTTTTATTAAATTGGTTAGGTTTTTTTAATTCTCTTTTTTTCTCTACTGATTTTGAAGTTATGCACTTTATTGATTAACCTTAAAATTTCAGTGTACTCACTTGATTTAACAAGCTGTAAAGCTAATCAGTATCTCCACTTTTCTGGATGATAAAAGAACATTTCAACATTTTAACTTTGATCATTCTGTTACTACGTTGTGCATTGTTTTGTCAGTGTTTTCAGTCTACCTTATTCTAGATTTTAGTTTTACATTTGTGTGTGAGTATTTGATGAATGAGTATTTAATGATATATTTTATAATCCATGACATTTTTGATTACAATACTGCAAAAGTATATACCATGTCTGTTTTTTTATCATCATTTAATTTCACTAGCTAGAATAGGGCTTGGCTTGCAATATAAAATAAATATTTTAGTTGGGCAAGATGGTACGTGCCTATAGTTCTAGCTGCTTAGGAGGCTGAGGTAGGAGAATAGCTTAAGCCCAAAAGTTGGGTGCTGCAGTGAGCTATGATGATACCACTGTACTCTAGCCTGGGCAACAGAGTGAGACCCTGCCTCAAAAAAAAAAAAAAAAAGAGAGAGAAAATATTTGTTTCATTAATTAACTGATTGCTTATTTTACTGTAAAAAGATCTTTGGTAACTAGAGCAATCTGTTTATTCATATGGAACTTCCATCTCTAAGAGCCTTCTAATCAGTTGATTTTAGATTTAGATCCTCCAATATAATCTGGCTAGGAAGTTTATAGAGACTGTTGTGTAGCTACCAAATAACAAATATAGAGAGGTTGCAACACATGATTATGTTCATTTGAAATAATGTGAAAGGAAGAGTTAGATTATAAAGTGGTAGGGATAAAATGTTTGAAATCAGTGAGGAGTGGGACCTTGGACTGGTTGGATATCTTTTTTCCCAGTGGTAACACAAGTTTTTTATCTTGTTGAAATCCCTATTTTCCTTCTGTACTTTTCAGCTTCTTACATTCTGTTGGGCTTAAAGATTCATTTGTTGCTGTGGTTACCTGCTGTTGAGATAAGAGGCAGGAGGAAGTTTCCATGGTCTCAGGAAGCAAGCAGACTTGCCTAGAGTAGGTGCTGTTCTAAGCGGACCAAGGTTGCGACAGGATATTTTTCCCCAGCCTTGGGTACCATACTAGTAAGACAGTTTCTCATAGGGTAGGAAGAAAGCTTTTTTCTTACTCCTTCCTCCATACCAAGACTGGACCCTTTCCCCTGTATATACTTTCTTCAGTTTTCTTCTTCTTAGATGTAGATAATTCACTCTTCTTGTTCTCTTGGGACTATTGTATAAGTGAAAATGAAATAACTTTACATGAATGAAGATGAAAAGAATTTTAAGTGATATAAATAAATTTAATTTCTTTGTTACTGTGAAGGGGTCCGATAGGACTAATGTTCTTGATATCTAATAATTCACAAGTTATATCTAACATTAACTAGAAGAGTAATAATAAGAGGATACAACATTTTAATAAACATTCTGAAACTATATTTGAAGAATTTGATCTTGTTCTCAGTGTAAGTACCGATTTTCAATTGTATTCAATACTAGTTCCACTTTTTTCCTTTCTCTTTTCTTAAAACATCCTAAGTAACACTTAACACAGTGCCTGGCATATTCTAGCTTCCTAATAAATATTGGCTAGTTGAATGAGTGATGAAATACATTGATAAAGAGTGAATATATGAATGAGATGTGCACCGTCTGGGGGATGGTCATGCTTGAGACTCAGACTTGGGGGGGGGCAAGGGCATTATTTGAAACCTTAAAATTTGTACCCCTATAATATGCTGAAATAAAAAAAAAAGAGTGAATAAATGAGTGGATGACAAAGTTTTTAGACTTTTACAATACAAATAAATATATGTGTAAATTTCCCTTATCAGATTTAAAAACAGAATAATATTTTAATAATTTAGGTAATATAGAGGAAAGGATTTATTCTAAAATTTGAACACTGGACTTTTTCTGAAGTCAGATTATAGTATCTGAAAATGGATAATAAGCATAACATGAAGTAAGATAACTTGAAATGAATCTCTGAGATACATATTCTTTAATGTAGCAATAATTGATTGTTAGATTCAGAAGATTATTTTTAAAAACTTTATTCTTATTTTTAACCTAGTTTATTCTAGAATTTTGTCAAGTAGAAATGGTTTTGAACTTTCTACTTGAAATGAATCCATTTTCATTTCTGAATTATGATAGACTCTAATGAAATTGAACCAGTGAATTTTATTAATATTATACATCATCTATTGTGTTTAATGCCATATATCTAGAAAATATTTTCCCCTACATATTGGATCTATGTGGTTAATATTTTCTGTCGGTTTCTGTATTTGAATTTTTGAGTTGGTTTATGGTAGAGCGTGGGCTGTGATGCCAGGCAGATCTGAGTTTCTATCCCCCATTTGTCACTTAATGAGAAACTTATTCATTCAGCTTCTCAAACTTTTGTACCATGTTGTGTAGCATGGAGAATGATACCTACTATCATCTACTATCATAAGAAGATATTGGGATGATATAATAAACTAATACGTGTAAAGTGCCTGGGATATGGTGGCAGACTCAGTAACTGGGAACAACTATTTTTTCCCATTTTTTTTCCTGCAGCTTTCCCCACAAATAAACCAGACAAAGATGCAAGACATGTAATAAAAGTGGTAAGTGTTACTCTTAGATGTGTATTTTATATATATTTGATTTTTTTTCATTTCTGCTTTATTTTTTTTAAATGTTTTTCAATTTTTATAATTAGTAGGTCAATTAAATATGAAATGTCCAATTTCCAATCAAAAGTTTAGTTTATTATGTCTCAAACAGGAAGGAATGCAATTGACCAAAGTATGCATCTAAATTGTTAACACAGTTTTGCCATTCTCACTTATCAGTAGCTTGTTTATGCCAGCAGTGAAGAAGCCTGGAGAGCGAGTGGCTATGAAATCGCAAAATCCACAGCTTTTTGTGAATTTAATATTTTTCCATGCGGGAAGTGTCCCAAAGCTTCAAAGAAGTGGTAGTCAATTGGTGCAAGGTCTGGTGAATATGGTGGGTGACAGAGAGTCTCCAAGTCCAGCTGCTGTAATTTGAGCAGCATTGTTTGTGCGACATGTGGTCAAGCATTGCCTTGCCAGATGATTGGTCTGGCTCTATTGACCAGTCTCAGCTGCTTCATCAGAAGCATCCTCATCATTTAGTCCACTTGGTTGCAGTAGACATCCGCTATTAACTACTGACCAGGTTTCATGAAGCTGTAGTGGATAATACCAGCACTGGACCACCAGCCACCATTAGGGTTTTTTTGATGAATATTTGGTTTTGGACTGTGTTTTAGCACTTCATCTTTATTCAACCATTGTGCAGAATACTTGTAATTATCAGAAAGAATCAGTTTTTCATCATATATAACAATATGGTGTAGAAATGGTTCACCTTTATGTCATTACAGCAAAGAAAGGCAGGCTTCGAAATGATTTCTCTGCTGATGCTCATTTAATTCATGCAGAATCCATCTACCCAGCTTTTTTACCTTGCCAGTTTGTTTTAGATGGTTCAGTATTGTTGGAATAGTAAAGTCAAAGCTTGTTGCTGATTCACACATAGGTTGAGATGGATTTACTTCCACTACAGCTTTCAGCTCATCATTATCCACCTTGGTCTCAGGTTGCCCATGTGGCTCATTTTCAGAATTAAAATTACCAGAACAGAACTTCTCAAACCATCAATGTACTGTGTACATTAGCCACATCCTTCCCAAACACTTCTTTGATATTTCAAGCTGTCTGGACTGTATTGGTTCCATGACAGAACTCATACTTGAAAATAGCACAACTTTTTGACTTATCCATGGTTTCACAAAAATTGCTTTAAAAAAATTTAAAAGATAATCACAAGCCAAAATGTGTGTTTGAAATACTAAGGATATACATTCACAATAAAAATAAAACCAGAAGTGCCAAAGTGAAATGTCAGATATCAACTGTCAAACTTAGTACTTAAGGAAATTGGACATTGTACACTTAATAACCTAGTATTTACTTACTGATAAAACTAATGCTCTGATATATTTTCACATCATTAAAATGTTAAGACTGGAAAACCATTGTTGTTCTGTATTGCCATCAATCATGCTGGTCTCTTATCTAGCTATCTGTGTTCTCTTTCCCCCCCCCACCCTCTTTCCCTACTTTTCTGCTCTAAATGGTAAATCCTTAAACATAGGCATAGGGTTTTATTTCTGTTTGTATTCCCTGTGCCTAGTACAATGAATGGAATAGCAGATCACTTGATAAAGGTATCTTGTAATAATGAACCACAAGGATAGTTTGTAGTGTATCACCCAGATGTACGTGTTATCATACAGTGAGTGTTGGTGTGTTTATGCATATAATTCTCAGTGCTTGTAGTAAGTGCTTTCCATAAGAAGATTATTTTCATGTGTAAAACTGAATAGGGATAATACTATAATATGTTGTTTATAAATGAATGAGATTCTTCCAGTTTATTTAGTGTTTGCTGAGATTTTTAGTGGAAATCTGGTGTATATTTTATATTAATAAAAAGTGATCCAAATACTATTATATACACATACTCATATTTTTACAATTGAAATACCAATTCCATTTTAGGATTTTTTTCCCCCATAAAATTAATTATTCTTTACTTTCATAGGAATATCAAGAAAATGGCCCATTATTTTCAGAACTTAAATTTTATCAGCGAGCTGCAAAAAAAGACTGTAGTAAGTAAAATTAGCAAAATAAGCTACTTTCATATATGTGCTTGCTAAAGTGAATGTTGATATTTTGGTCTTTTTCTGGCCTTCTGGAAAATTCTTTTCAGTAGGAAATTTTATTGTAAAGTGATATAGTTAACTGTTGTAACATAAAAGCAAGACAATGGTATACAAATCTTGATATGATATATATAATGGGTTAAATATTTTAAGTCAAAGTTGTTTGTACTACTTTATATAAAATGTTGGGTTCTGGATCTAAGCTACTGAGAGTTATCTAAGTACAAATAATAGTAGAATGAAATTATTTCTTTTACAGAAAAAATTTGTATAGAAAGGCTATAAGGAAAAGACATTAAAATGGTCAGTAATTATATGTATAAATAAAAAGGAATGATTGTGGAATGGATTAAGGTAAGGCATGTGGAAATAGTTAAACATTAGGATGTTTAAGAAAATTTTAGAAACCTGAATATTAGAAAATTAATTGGAGTGAGATATAAGATGTAAGAAATACCATGTTAGAAGATTTGAATGTGAAATGAGTATGAGCAGGGATGAGGAAGAATAAAAGCATTTTATAAATACTCTATGATACACATGGGCCAAGTAAAACATTAAAGAAGTAGACACGAGTAATGACTAGTCAGGGTCTTTTACATCATGGTTAGGAAAAAGAATGATGGGTCTGGCCTCAATAATTAACTTTGTTTTCCTTAATAACGCCGTCTAAGCTTTAAAACTGTAGTCTTTACTAACTGCTTAGACTATGTCAGAGTGACAAATAGAATCCATTAAACTTGATTGTTTATCAGTAGAGCTGTCTTAAACATTAAACATATATGGTAGAAAAGTGAAAAAATGATTACACTACCTGATTGTTTAAATGGATTTGATTTTTTGTAAACTAAGTTTAATCAAAACAATTTCTGTATAACATAATTTCAGAGTAAGTTAATTTTTAGCCCAATTTTTGTTTCTTTCTCTACTATGGCTTTAGACTTTGAAGTAATAGGGAAGAAAAGCCGTCTCTCTACTAATCCTTTGGTAGTTAACATATGTTATATTTAAAAATGTAGTTAGCGTGTAAAATAAATAATTTTTTTATGAATAGACATATTTGTGTATATGGCACCAATGTATTTTATAAGACTGACTTTTGTTTTTGTTATTGATTTAACTTTAAAATTTCTGTATATGTTTTTTGTTAATTATAGTGATAACAAAGAGTTTGAGGTCATCAGATGGATATATTTGATTTAAAAATTTTTTACCTTCTATGAAAGTCTAATTACTATTTTGGTTAGCTAAATAAGTCTTAGTAGCTATGCAAAAGTGTAAAATATCTTTTTAAATAATGTGAATCTTTTTTGTTGTCTTTGTTAAATTTGTCTTTGCAGTCAAAAAATGGGTAGAACTCAAACAGCTTGATTATTTAGGAATTCCTACATTTTATGGATCTGGTCTGACTGAATTCAAGGGAAGAAGGTAAAAAGGAATTATAATCAAATATTGCTCTATTACTATTTCTTATATGGTCTATTATCTATTGCCATGTAACAAATTACTCAAAACATATTAGCTTATAAAACAAACTTACATAATAATATCTTAGTTCTCTGAGTCAGAAATCTGCAAGTGGCTTATCTGGGTGGTTCTAGCTCAAGATCTCTCATGAGGCTGTAGTCAGATATCTGCTGGGCTGCAGTCATATTTCAAGGCTCAACTGGGAAAGGATCTCTTTTCAAAGCCACTCATGTGACTATTGGTAGACCTAAGAAGATCTGCTTCTAAATTTACTTAGGTGGTTGTTGGCAGGCCATACTTCCTGACCATGTGCGTCTCTGCATAACTTGCTGAGTATTAAGAAAAAATGGCAGCTGGCTTTCCCCAGAGCAAGTAATTGAAAAAGAGAAAGAGAGCATGCACAAGAGAGTGCATCCAAGAAGAAAGTCATAGTCTTTTTATAATCTAATCTTAGAAGTGATATCCTATCACTTCTGCTGTATCCTCTTTGCTAGAAGCAAATCACTAGGTCTACCCCATACTCAAGAGCAAAATTAATTAAACTCCATCTCTTGAGGTGGGTCACAACAAAGAGTTATAGGAATATCTTTTAAATGCTCAGATATGGCTAGTCATCACATTATAAAGAATCCATTAATAGTGATTTGAAAAAGGAAAAAAACTCTTCATTTGTTATATATCCATTTTGTGCCAGAGATTTTTTTATATGTTATTTTGTTTTGTTCTTTGAATAGCCTTTTAATATAGGCAATATTGTTTTTATTTCATAGGTGAAAAGATAGGTGCAGACATCAGTATTTTGTTCAGATGTTTTTTAAATGCTATAAATAAAAACAAAATGACCAAACAATAATCTTGAAACAAAGCAAAAGTCTGCTAGTAGGGGACTGAACGATTGATTAAATCATGATGCATCCATATTATGTAATATGCAGCCCATTAAAAAATCAATTAGAGCTAAACCAGTTGACTTGGAAGGATTTCAGTGAGATATTATTGAAAAAAGTACAATGGAGAAAGTGCATATGATAAGATCACATTTTTATAAAATAATTCTTCTGTGTGTGTATACATGGATAGAGAAGTGATGTGGATATCTAAGTAAAGGGAATAAAAGAAGGATGAAGGGTGGCAGATGGATAGGAAAAAGAAGAGTACTTTAAAAAGACATATTTATAAATGTATAGAGGCAATAAATATGATCTTATAAGAGCAAGAAACAAATACAAATAAAATGTTCTGTGTGGGCAAATAATTTGTTCAAAGCCATATGGCAAGAAGGTGATGGTTAAAAATGAATTAAATTCAGCACTATCTAATTTAAAAAGACTATTTTCTTTAACAATGAATAGTTTACTACAGCATTCTCTTCTACTAGAAAACTAACTGCAGAATAAATAGTAATATCTTTCTGCAAAAGAATAGCAGGATTGTTAATGTATGTTGATTCTCTACAGTTTAGACTGCATCATTCCTGGTTGTTTAGGTCAGGAGTTATTTTCCTCTATTCAAATTCATTAATAGACAGTTCTAAGTATCACTTTTCCAGAAAGATCTCTTTTTGATGTCTCTTTCTTACAGTTACAGATTTATGGTGATGGAAAGACTAGGAATAGATTTACAGAAGATCTCAGACCAGAATGGTACCTTTAAAAAGTCAACCGTCCTGCAACTTGGTATCCGAATGGTAAGAAGGAATGACTGACTTCACATGCTTCATTTTCAGATTATTTACTTGTTACAATATATAAATATTTGCCCTTTGTGGAATTATCAGAGAATGAAGGATTATTGCCCTAGAAATGTCAGTTATTGAGAGTAGAGGGTATTTTGGTGAAATTGATAACTGCGGGCTCTGTAAGTGACAGAATGTGCTGTGTTTGGCACTGCAAACTCAATTAGGCATTGGTTCTACAGTCTGATCCTTTTTTTTCTTTCCTCACAGCTCTATTTTACATACCAGAACAAGCTTTCATTGCTGTAAGAATAACCTTTCTTTTATCAGTTATATTTGTAACAATGAAAATCATGACAAAATATTTTTTTTTTTCATACTAAACTTGATCGTCTGGGGGTACTATAAAGTTTTTATTATGAGTCTGGGATGGTGGCAATAATTAGTTGTGGCAATGAATAATATATACTTTGCCAAATAAGAAGCAATGAAATCTTAATAGCACCCATGCACACATTTGTTTATACCACATATTTGTCTTATCTTGTTTGTGTCTTGTTTGGTAAAGTCTCCATTTTTTCCCATTTTTAATAGAATGAATCTACTCCTATCAGGTTGGGATGTGGCAAATAGAACACATTAATTTTCCCATTCACCTATTAATCCATCCACCCAGCCAGTAAACGTTTATTGAGCAATAGGTATATGTAACATGCAAGGCTGAAGGGCTTTAAAGATGAAACTAAGGAGTTTTCTATTACTATACCAAGGAAGAATGCCTTTTCCTGTACACTTACACGTGGCCTTTTGTTCTGAAGTCCTCAAGACTTGATTTATAATTATTGTTTGGGTGAGGAATTGCTGAATAGGTTTCATGATTATTTCACTGTAGGTCTCTGATTTTATGCTGTATTTTTCCTCTTTACACAGTGTGGTTTGGCCATTGGGCTATCAGGAACAAAGGCATAAGCATTTTTGAATCCTGTTTCCTTCCATCAGAGTTTCAATGAAAATACTTGGTATTATAGGATCATTTTATTTTACTTTTTTCCAGGATGAGCAACTAGAAGATATGATATGTTAGAACAGAGTAATAAACTGATAATTGTGAAATATATCACTTTGTCATTGTTAATATAAGTAAAATCCCATGTTATTCTATATTCAAAATGTTCAAGTTGATCATGAGTTCTAAATAGATAGCAGTGTAACCTTATATTATCTGTTTCTTTTCACAGTTGGATGTACTGGAATATATACATGAAAATGAATATGTTCATGGTGATATAAAAGCAGCAAATCTACTTTTGGGTTATAAAAATCCAGATCGGGTAAATACATATTTAGCTTTTGCTTTTGGTAAAGGTTCTCAAAGAACCATACTGAAACATTTAAAAAACAAACTCCTAACTCAGAACTGATTTTACAAATGAGGGCTTAACATGGTGAATGTTATAATTTATCTTACCTTGCTTATGTAATTTAATCCTTACACCACACTAATGAGTAGTTAGGATGAGAAACTGAGAGTCAGAGGGGTTAAATAATGCATTAGTGGGCACATAGTTAAGAAGTGGCTGAGCACGAATTTGAAGTTTTTAGCAAATATGGATAAACAAAGAACCATCAAAATCTAATGGGAGAAGAGATGGATTTATGCAGGAGAAAAAATATAGCTGTCACATTAGTTCCTCTTCTCCGACTGTATAACCAATTAAAGTTTTAAATAGAGAAGCATTTCCAATAGAACTTTCTGTGATGATGGACATATTCTGTGTCTGACTGTCCAACGTGGCTGTTAAGTACTTGAAATGTGGCTAGTACAATACCAACTGCTGGTGAGTATATGGGGCAACAGAAATTCTCATTCATTGCTCATGGGAATGAAAAATGATATAGCCACTTTGGAAAACAGTTTGGCAGTTCTTAGAAAACTAAAATACTTTTACCATACCATCCAGCAGTTGTGCTCCCTTGGTATTTACCCAAATGGGTTGAAAACTTACATTCACACAAAAACCTGCACACAGATGCTTATAGTAGTTTTAGTCAGACATGTCAAAACGTTGAAGCAACCAAGATGTCCTTCAGTAGGTGAAAGGATAAATAAACTGTGATACATTCAGATAATGGAGTATTATTCAGTGCTAAAAAGAAATGAACTTATAAAGCCATGAAAAGACATAGAGGAAACTTAAATGCTTATTATTACGTGAAAAAAGCCAATTTGAAAGGCTATACTGTATAATTCCAACTATAAGAATTCTGGGAAAGGCAAAACTTTGGAAATGATAAAAAGATTAATGGTTGCCTGGGGTTTGAAGAGAGGGGAGTGATAAATAGATGGAGCACAAAGGATTTTTAGGGCAATGAAACCACTCTGTTTGATACTGTAATGGATACATGTCCTTATACATTTGTCAAGACCTGTAGAATGCACAACACCAAGAGTCAGCCTTAAAGTAAACTATGCACTTTAGGTGATAATGATGTGTCAATGTAGGTTCATCTGTTGTATAAGATGTACCACTCTGGTGAGGAATATTGATAGTTGGAGAGGCTATATATGTGGGCTCTGGAGATATAGGGGAGCACACTGTATTTTCTCCTTCTTACCTAAATTGCTTTAAATTTACCTAAATTGAATATAAAATTTCTCTTTAAAAAAAGTCTATTTAAGAAACGTGGCCTATGTTTTTAAATATGAAAACATTAATATTGAGGAACTGAATATTTAAATAACTAAACATAACTAGTAGCTACTGGCTAATCCCAGGTTTAAAGACAAAGAATTGAGTCTAAAAATTTTTAAAAATGTAATTAAATATTTAATCTCTGTATGGATAAAGAATTTCTAAATAAAAATGCAAGAGAAAAAATGTAAACAGAAAATATTGACAGATTTAAAATTTTAAGATGTCTTTGTATTAAGAAAATTGAAAAAGTGAAAGGTGAATGAAAAACTAGAAAACATATTTATAACAAATATTTGAGAATATCTAGCAAGCACTAAAAAAAATAAGAAAAACACCAAATGCTTTCTTAAAACAATGCTTAAAAGGAATGAACAGACAAAACAGAAGAAACACAACTGTCCTAGAAACAGATGAAAAAAATGTCACTTCGCTAAAAGTGAAAAGATAAGAGGATCAAAACAGTGAGGCGCTATTTTTAAAGGACTTATTAAATTGGAATAGTTTAAAATAATAATCTGATAATACTGAGGCTGATAAAGGTACAGGCACTTGTATCATCCCTGTGGGAATGTAAATTAAATAGGAGTAGAATAAGTTAATGGAAGGGCAATTTGGTAATATATATTAAAAGCATTTAAAAGTCTGCTTACTTTTTTATGGTTAGGTTTATTGAGATACAGTTTACAATAGTCACCCTTTTAAATATATGGTTTGATGTTCTTTGACACGTGTGTATATTGTATAACCACCACCATCATCAAAATACAGAACATTTCTTTTATCCCCAAAAGTTCCCTCATTTCCCTTTACAGTCAATTTTCTTCTCTTGCCCCCAACCTCTGGCAATGAGTTCTGCTCCTACATTTTTACATTTTCAGGAATATATATATAAATATATAAGTGGAATTTTAAGGTATGTACACTCTTTTGTGTCTGCTTCCTTAGTAGAATGCTTTTGAGATTTATCCTTGTATTTCATTAGTAGTTCATTCCTTTTTATTGCTGGGTAGTATTCCACTGAAAATTGCTACAGTTTTGTTCACATGTTGATGTATATCTGGGTTGTTTCCAATTTTTGACAATTATGAATAAAGCTTCTAGTATTCATGGGCAATCTTTTATGGAGACATATGTTTTAGTTTCATCTGGGTAAATAGAAGTAGAATTTCTGAATCATATGGAAGTATATATTTAACTTAAAAACTGCCAAAGTATTTTCTGGAGTGATCTTACCATTATGTATTCACATCAGTAACGTGTGATAATTCATTTGCTCCACATCTTAGTTCCATTAGTCTTTTAAATTTTAGTCATTATAGCAGATGTATAGGAATATCTAGTAATTTAAATTTATATCAGTCATCTCAAATGATTAATGATATTAAACTCTCTTCTAATATCATACGGCCAATATTATATTATCTTGATTAGTATAGCTTCATAGTCTTGAAATTAGGTAGGGTGAGTCTTCCAATTTTGATCTTTTTTTCCAAAAATTTTTTGGCTATTCTGGCTACTTTGTAATTCCATGTGCAATATTTTTGAATCACTTTGTCAGTTTCTACCATAAAATCTGCTAGGATTTTGAGTAGGATTGTGGTAAACTGTATGTCTATTTGAAAGGATTGATATCCTAACAATCTGGAGTCTTTTGACTAGAAGCTCCACTAATTCACTGTGGAATTAATGATCTTTTAAGTACCTATTTTTATTTCTTTTGGTTTTATTTTTACTATTACTAAATATTTTCTAATTTCCATTGTGATTTGGTTTTTGACTCTTGGGTCATTTGGGATTATGTGTTTATATTCCAAATATTTGGGGGTTTTCAGATGTATTTCTGCTATTGATTCCTAATTTAATTCTGTTGTGATCAGAGAGCTACTCTGTCTGATTTCAGTACTTTTATGTTTATTGAAAATTATTTAACATCTAAAGATATGGGTTAACTCTGGGTTAACTTGCAGAATGCTTCATGAACCTTTGAAAAGAAATGTGTTCTGCTTTTTGCTTTGGGGTAGAGTGTTTAATAAATGTCAATTAGGTCAAATTGGTTGTATTGTTGAAATTTTCTATATCCCTGCTGAGAAGAGTCTGCAAACCACCAATTATAATTATGGATTTGTCTTTATTTTTAAATCTGTTAGTTTTTGCTACATATATATTGGAATTCTATTATTGGTTGCATATGTGTTTAGGATTTTTATGTGTTTTTTATGAGTTGTCTCATTTGTTATTGTGAAATATTAATCTTTATCTCTGGTAATATTTCTTGTTTGGAAATCTGCTTTAATATTAATGTAGCCACACCAGTTTTCTTTGGATTAATTTTTATATTGTATTATCCTTTCCATTCTTTTGATTTGTTTTTCTCTGTACATTTAAGTTAAATTTCTTGGAGATAGTATGTTCATTTTGAAGCTTGTTTTTAAGCTTTGTTAGCATAAGCCAATAGTAGCCTATGCTATTTGGATAGTTTATTCCTACTTCTATACTGTAAAATTCTGTGATTCCTACTGAATTTCCTATAAGTACTTACCACCGTGGCCTGTTGCAAGTCAAACACCTCCCAGCTTTGTGTGAACTCTGGGAAATTTTTTCCTACTTTCTAGGCCCCATTAGTTCTTTGCTCCACCTTCTATCCTATAGATAAGACTCAAGAAGAAATCCCTATGCAAATTTCTATAGCTCCCTTCTCTTCTGAACTGTGCAGTGTCATTCTCTATAGGACCCTCTCTAAACTCATTGTCTCTCTATTCAGTGGCATTGCTGTTAGGCATAATTAGCAGAAGTCCTGCTCTTGGGTTGGAATTATCACTAAGCAGAAAGCTGAATGAAGTATTTATAAGCTTTACCTAATCTTTTTCCATTTTCTCAAGGATCAAAATCTTGTGCTGTTTAATATCCCAAAACAACGTCTTTCATTTTCTCTAGTTTCCTAGTTATATGCAGTGAGATTGTAAATTCAACCATTGTTATTCATTGTCAAAAGCAAAAAGGCCAGTTTTAAAAATTTTTTATTTTGGTGAATTTTTTGTTTATGCCTTTTGCCAATTTTTCTATTATTTTTTCATTTTATTCCTTTGATATTGAAGAGTTCTTTAGATATGAGTTGTATTAGGCCTTCATTTAGTACATATTTTGCAAGTATTTTACCTAATTTGCCTTTGGTCTTTTGTTTATGCTTATGATATTTCATTGCTATATAGAAGGTAGATTTTTAAATTTTTAATATCAAATTTGTCAATCTTTTATTTACTGTGGATTTTGAGTCATGGTACATAAACTCGTTCTACAGAGAGGGTTTACAGGAATTTTATTGTGTGGCTTCATTTTTAAATTTAAATCTCCCTGTTCATTAGAGTTTGTTTTTTTATATGATGGGAGGAACCGATTCAGTTTTTTTTTTCTAAGTGGTTTTCCAGTTATTCCAACACTATTTTTTAAAAAAACTATCTTTCTTTGAGTAATATTAGATGATACTTTTATTATAAACTAAATTTAGATATGTACTTGAGTTTATTTCTGACCTTTCTGTTGAATCCCACTGGTTGGTTTATTTATGCATCAGTACCAAGCATAACTACTGGTGCATTAATTTTTGAGGCTTTATGATATATTTTATTTTTTCTTTC